TTAAAATATTCGAAAATTTGAGGAAGATATAGCTGAAAATGTGAAAGCGCGCACAACTCATCGAGACAGTAAAAAATTAGTTATCTGTTGCAATTTATTTGGAATCTGTTATCTGTTATCTAATTTACGACCGAAAGTATTCAGTCACACTATGTTCTTTCTTAGGTTTCTTTTGTCCGTTTCAGGTAGAACAAAAAAAAATGTTTTTCCTCAGCGTATTGTTTCTTGGTCCTTTTCTTGATATTTTCTCAGCATGTTTTTAGAGAATGTACAGTTCGTACAGTTCCTCTGGAACGGAACATGAAATTGCTTTGCAAATCCTTCCAACAATCTTCTTTTTCTTTTATAGAAACACTATTTGTTGTTTTATTTTCTAATATTTTACACCTATCCCGCACTAATTCGATGAGAAGCATTTTCTCTGACTCTGTAAAATTTTTTGTTCTTTCTTTTTTGTGCTGTACTTGCCCCATTTGTATATTTTTACTAAAATTATATTTTTTATAAAACAAAATTTTACATTTTACATTCATCATAGACGTAAAAAGTATAGTTATGACATGCACTTACGAATTATGTACCAATCACATCGTTTGATACAAAAATAGTTTGAATTAGCATGCATGAGATATACGTTCAGTTAATCGGAACGAATGTACAGTTGAAGGAAAGCAAAATAAGTTGACCGAAGTTTAAACTGCGATCAAAGTTGAACGCAGTTCATTAGAACTTTGAATTGAACCACGTCGGAGGAAACGGCCATTACGGTCGAAAGTATTCAATCACACTATGCCTTTTTTTAGGTTTCTTTTGTCCGTTTCAGTTAGGCCGAAATAAAATAACAATCTCTATGGATGGATGGTACATATCCACGTCATTAAAACCAGCAATACCGAAACCGAGGAGAGGGGATACGGATCTCAGGTATAAAAGGAGCAGGCCAGGAACCAAGAATCACTCTAGCTTGAACAGTCGATGTGAGCAGACTAACAGAGACAAACAGGAAAAAATAGAGATGTACAAAAACCGAGAGCTCCGTACTTGGTTGGAGAACTGGGAGCCATTTCCCAGGGACGACTTGGCGCCCTTTGGGTTACGACAGTCGACTACTAGCAGTCCAGGAATCAAGAATCACTCCAGCTGGAACAGTCGATGTGAGCAGACTAACAGAGACAAACAG